GTTACATAATTTAAACATTTTTAAAGTTCTAGTGTTTAAAATAAATCAAAGGTCAGAGCTTGGAGCTCTGAGGCATGAATGGATCTCATCAGTCAGGGTTTGGCCCTGTAATGATGACCTCCAGACGTTAAGGTGAACACAGTAAACACTGACTGTCCACAGAAATCTTTTCATTTGCTAGCAGAAGTCTTTGAAACGGGACGATTACAGCAGGGATGTTAGCTGAAATATTCAGCGGCTGTCGCACGTCCTGTTTGCCCGTCCTGTCTACAGTTCGGTTTCTCAGGTTGTCTTTGGTTTGTTGGAGACTTTTGGTTTTCTCTTAGCGTTGACCTGCCAACACTCCCTCCTCACCTGTCACAAAATGTCATTTTTTTCAGCTCGTCTGTCCTTGCAGTAGACAAACCAGTTAGAACTGTCTCACCTCGTGTTTCTCTACTTTACTCATCCTGCTGCATAAATGAGGCTTCATGGAGCACAAGCTTAAATCTCAGGATTAAGCAAGTGAAATGTGTGAAACAAAGTCGCATATAATGTAAACAGTGTAAAGGTATCATAAGAGAAGTGTTGTGAAAACACCAAAGACGCCTGTTTTCACCACGAGGTGTTATCATTACCATCAGAATAAAAAGAACCAAGTTCTATGTAGAAGTAAAACTCAAAAGGCTTCCACGGGACGCTTTTGACGGTGCGTGGTTTCTCTGTGTGTTTTCCAGCGGCCAGTAAACGATGAGAAGTCTCCGGTGGGCCCGTGGCTGCTCGCTCTGTTCGTCTTTGTGGTTTGTGGATCAGGTGAGTTTATCCCCTGCAGGTGATACAGATGTTGATACAGCTGCTGATGCAGACGGGCTCTGCTTCCCGCTCAGCTGATCCTATCTCTGTGGTGTTTCTGCAGAACTCTATCAGCTCTCGAAACTCTGAGTCACATTTTTCCCCAGAAGTTTTGTCTTCAGCCTGCAGGATACGGAGTCAGAAGGTCTTCCTGTGACAGATTGCACTTTTATCGCTGCCAGTCAGGACTTGCCATCTCTAATTAGCGTTTGGTAACACATGTCAAAAAACAGTCGCTTTAAATAGATGGGAGTTAGCTCTCCTGCTTTTCTCAGCCTGTTTTTTAATTGTAGGTCACAATAGAATCTCTGTTTGTGCCGTGGCTTTGAGGCATAGAGCCGGTTTGGGCTTCCCGTGATGTTCCTGCTCATTAAGCAGATTAATGTTGCTTCTGCCAGCAGCAGAAGACTTGACTGTTTCATACTAAAAGCAGTATTAGAGTTACTGGAATAAGGAGGCTTTTCTTAAGGACAGGAAGTTGATGCTGGCGGTGCTGGACATTGTGAAAGTTTCACATTTGCGACTAAAAATACATGTGCAGATTGCTACATCTATTTAGGAGCATGTGTGTGAATAAAAAGTATTACAAGGCTCAACACTCTTCGTTAACATGACAATAAACCTGGAGAGAGAGAAACATGTTTGCTTTACTTTTTGGATTAACTGCGATCGTTAATATTACTGCAATCACAATCAAAGCCTCTGAAGATAAAAAGCTATTAGGAGTCCTCTATTAAAGCACTGATCATCAAATTTAATGGGGTGTCTCTAGTTGTAATACCTCAGTAGATAGGCGGGCACATCCATCCTTATCCATAGGTAAGTATATGAATACTTGCCTGTGGATAAGATAAACAGGACAGTTGGTAAAGTAGATTAAGCCATATTATGGATCATTACACAGGTAGTTAAGTAGGTAGGTAAATGAGTGGGTATAATGAGATGA